AAATATCAATCTCTTAAGTGAAGTATCACTGAATGATGATCAGCTAACGAGTATTCGCTCAGAGAGTGAGCAGGATCCGGAAATTCGCCAGCTAATGGAAACTTGCCAGAAAGGCTGGCCAAATGAAAAGTCAGCAGTAATAACGATAATTCAGCGTTACTGGAATATACGCGATGAGATCACAATCTGTGATGGAATATTACTACGCGGTGATAGAACCATCATACCGAGAAACTTAAGAGCACAAACTATTGAGGCCCTACATTATGGACATACGGGAATCGAATCCTGCTTACGTCGAGCTCGAGAAACAGTTTATTGGCCAAATATAACTGACCACATCAAAAATGTCATTCAAAATTGTCAAACGTGTTGGGAAACGTCGACAAGTCAAGCCAAGCTGCCACTGCAGTCGTCACCGTTCCGGAGTTGCCATTTCAAGGTGTTAATATGGACCTGTGCGAAGTTCCACGACAGACAGGTAACACCAAAGAAATTTTGCTAATTGTTTCCGACTCATTCTCAGACTGGTTCGAAGTGGAAGAGCTTCGAAGTATGACAGCCTCAACCATAGTGTCAGCTTGCGAACGGATATTTAGTAGGAAGAGAATACCATCGGTAGTCGTAGCGGATTCGGGTACGTAATTCAACAGTAGAGAGTTTCTAAAGTTCGCATAAAATTGGGGTATGAAAGTAACTTTGACGCCACCACATCACCATCAAGGAAATGGGAAAGCAGAGTCGGCAGTCAAAATCGTCAAACGTATCTTTCGGCGAGCAGATAAAAGTGGACAAGATCGTTGGCTAGCGCTGTTAGAATGGCGTAACACACCCAACCACATGCAGACAAGCCCGGCCCAACGGCTATATTCACGTCGGTTACGAACGCAATTGCCAATGAAACAATCGCGGTTGCGACCAGAAGTTCAGCACAATGTACCAAATAAAATCATAGAAGCGCGTAAGAAAGCAAAATTTCATCATGACAAGCGAGCAAAACAACTGCCAGAGCTGGAAATAGGCCAGGACGTATACGTGCAGCTGAAGCCACACCATGATAGCAGTTGGAAACCGGCAGTTGTAAGCGACAAATAGTCTACGCGCAGATATCAAGTCGAATGTGAAGGAAAAGTATACGTAAGGGATCGACAAAACGTCCGAGCGTGCCCACCGAAAATTACATCTTCTGTGAAGACACCGTTAACGATGAAATCCAGTTTGCTCCGAACAACTAACGACTAGGTCTATCGAACTACAACCAACATCTGCGTGAGCACCTGAGCCTAGGTCACCGAAGCGAGGCGAGTCAGCGACACAAATAAAGTCTCCGATAACATCCTCGCAAGTAGCAGCTCAAACAAAGTCTCCGTCAACATCCTCGCAAGGAGCACAATCTTCGTTAACATCTTCGCACCCTGGTGCGAAATAAAGTCAATTGACATTATTACCTTTTCAAACGCGAAATAAAGTCAACAAAAATTTGGAAATAAAGTCATTGACGCTATTTCCTCATTCAAATGGAAATAGCGTCAACAATGCTTAAAGTATGTCGATTCATAGAAAAAAATGTTGTTCTTACAATAAACATTGCCCCGTAAGTGTTGTTTTGTAATAGATGAAAAAGGTTATTGCCAAATCCTCAGTGTTGTGATATTAACCCACACACAATCATGAACTACAACCAATTGATTTTATTAAAAAAATTTAAATGACGAATATGTAAAAACACGATGCGAAAAACTAAACGCCTGCGCACATGGGGAATACGAGAAATATTTGAAGAAAGAGTGTAGAAATGATCCATAAATTGCAAAACATGTTTCGTTTCCACAAAAATAAAGCGAACACTATTAAATTGAAGAAACAGTCCATGTCCAAAAACTCCGGAGGAACACTGAAAGAATTCTATGTTTTAAATAAGCATATTTTGAACGAATTCGGAATGTCTAAGAGGGAAAAGAAACCAACCTTTCTATAAGGAAATAATTATAGAAAAAGAGTTACATTTAACTGATGAAAACATAAATTTGGCCCTGTCAAAATAAGTAATAGAAAACATCAATTGTTTTTAAATTGGATGTTTACATAAATCTGATGGTAGTAGTAGTAGATATATTAATATTTCGCTCAATATTTCGTTTAAAATGCTGTCAATAATTATCTAATCGGGATTGGATGCCATAATACCCACACATTTCGCTACACAACTCTCATTACAAGATGCAAATCTATTGCATACAATTTTCTTTTTAAATAATGAAACAAAATAACTACTGCTACTACAAAATTGGAAAATATCACAGAATTTTCAGAAAATGTATTTATTTGGTAATTTTATTAGTCATATAAGATAAATACACGTAAAATCATTAGTGGTATTCATCTAAATCGATAACTTTATCAAGCAGATAATCTTATAAGTTTATGCACTCTGTTACATGAACGACCCACACTCTCTTTTCGTTTACACATGCGACAATAGTCATGTTTTCTTTGGTTATAAAGCGCAGTGTCACTAGCTTTATACTACTAGCACGGGGATAAAGAAATGATAGAAACTACCTCACTAAATTGGAAAAAATTATATTTACGAGATATCTATTTAAATAAATGTACATATAACATAAAGGCTATTTATTTGAAGCAAGTTATAAGAAACAATGGCAGAATGTCTGTTTGTGTATGAATTCATTTGTCACGGCTACCAAACTTTGCGAATTATCAGTGAAACAAAACAAACAGACGGGATAATAATTGAACCAGATCTCTATCTTGTGTAAACCTTATAAATGAACTGTCAAAATTTGTATGGAAACTCGTTTACACATTTCTGATAAATTTATCCAGCGATTTCACTGAATAAACTTGATAAACTGAAGACAATGCAACTCTGTCGCAACTCTAGCTATGTTTTCTTAGGCAATAATCGGGATCCGCATACAAATTTTGCCCACAAATTCAACAACGATATGATCCTGATAGAGATCTGGTTCAATTATTATCCCGTCTGGGTAGTAGTGCACTTTAGCGAAGGTAGGTCAAAATGGACGGAAAAAGTTCGAGAGTGGTATCAATCGACGCGTCTTAACGCCAATAATAACAATCCGAGACAGGAAATTAAGATTTTTAATTCATTGAAAAGTTATTTGCAAAAAACACTTGCACTTTCCGCCTACGCAGAAAGGTGTTCTCTGCAAAAGGTGTTCAGCCCCCCTTCTTTGGAACACAGAAAGGAGAATTCTACTGCCTGAGGGTTATAATCCCTAAGCGCGGCCGAAGGCCGCCTACGCAGAAAGGTGTTCGATGCACAAAACATTTTTAATATAGTGGCAGCAGCAATTTAGTTACATTTTATTTTTAATAGAGTGGCAACACTAGTTTTTCTCCATGTTATTTATATTAACTACGCAAGATTGTTGTGCGGATTTTCATCATCGGAATATTGCTATTAAATACAGAATTTCGCGAAAGTGTACACTTAAAACATCACAAATGTATAAAAACTAATAAATACGTGTTAAATTAAGTTCATTTCTTCCTTTCATTTGTGTGAAATTCATCGAAACATAGTGCGGAAAGTGCAAGTGTTTTTTGCAAATAACTTTTCAATTAATTAAAAATCTTAATTTCCTGTCTCGGATTGTTATTACTGGCGTTAAGACGCGTCGATTGATACCCCTCTCGAATTTTTTCTGTCCATTTTGACCTACCTTCGCTAAAGTGCACTTTTACCCCCGTCTGTTTGTTTTGTTTCACTGATAATTCGCAAAGTTTCGTAGCCGTGACAAATGAATTCATACACAAACAGACATTCTGCCATTGTTTCTTATAACTTGCTTCAAATAAATAGCTTTTATGTTATATGTACATTTATTTAAATAGATATCTCGTAAATATAATTTTTTCCAATTTAGGGCCGTTTGCACCTCAGTATATCCAGTAAAAAAACTGTGGTGAAGTCCTTTATGGGGATAAAGTTTCCAGAGGTGAAATTTTAGGTAGCACACAATTTCTTACACGCATGGTTGCTTTTCAGCACTCATGAAAGAAACTTAAGAAATATTTGAAAAAAAAGTTCATATAGTACATTAATTTTGAAAGAAATACCATATAATGTATTACTCTGGTTAATAATATCAAAAAATGTATTAGAACCACCGTTTAATGTTATATTTGATACAAATTAATATTGCTGCCCCGAACGCTCTGCGCCTTGCCACTGAATAATATATTACTTAAAATTACATCCCTGGTCCTTGTTCTTTCTGTATCGCATCGTGGTGAATTCATATTTCTCAGAAATTTGACAACAAAACAAAACAAAACAAGTATTTTATTTGCTAATTTTTGCGATTTCTATTGTTTAATGTAAATTTGTCTTTTTAGGATATGTCGAGCCAACAAAGAAGGCGCAGTTGGAAAATTTAGTAATTAGTAATGAAGTAGCTGGCATATTTGGAAAATTATGCCGATAAACAGGATGGAATTTGGGAAAGTAAGTGCATGGTTGCAGCATATCTATGTATAAAAAGTATTTAATTAAATTGTTTATAGAAGTGTTATAAATCGAGTGGCTCATTTACGATGTGCTCCAAACATTTGGCGAACTTTTTTTCGCCTTTTCAACGTGCTAAGTAACAAGTTAAGATGACTGCCATCATGGGCCGGTAAGAAACCGCAAGCAAAGGGCAGACAACCTTCCAGGAAGCTGCCTCCTGTCCCCGAGCCGAAGCTGCAGTTCAGCAAGAGCAGGTCAGCAAATTGCTACCCTGATCAAACGTAAACTAAAGCGCTCTGCTGTGATTGCACTCCGTTAATGTGAAAACTTGGTGTTTGCTGAGAAATATCAAACAAGAAAACTCCGTGATGGACGCCGTGAGATGGAGTAACGCTGTGTGGCAAAGAAATGCGGCCAATTCGACGGGCCTGAAAAATCCAAATTGGCTTTTGTGATCCGCATCCGCGGTATCAACAAAGTTGCACAAAAAGTGCGTAGTTTTACAGTTCTGTCTTCGCCACATTAAAACGGTGTGTTCATCAAATTGAGCAAGGCAACCATTAATATGCTACGTATGCCGAACCCCTATATGGGGTTATCCAAATCTTAAATCAGTTTGTGAACGTGGAATGGTCAAGCGTGTCCCAATCTCTGCTTTGTGATCGAACGCAAATTTCGCGAAGCGCGTTGATTCACTTCACTTCAAGAAAGCCCCCAACTTCCTGTTGCTATTCAAGCTCAACACATCAACCCGAAGCTGGCGCAAGAAGGCTAATCACTACGTTGAGGTTGGTGATTTCGGTAGCCGTGAGGATAAGATCAACAAATTGCTGCACAAGAAATTGTTGTTTTGTATTTAAGGCGACAATATAATTTGGCACATCTTCAAAAGACGGTCAAGCAAAAAAAAAAAAGAAAATTAAAAAATTCCTGAAGTTGCCTTTTCACGGGTCGATTTCTGTCGACTGGAAAATTTACTTAAGATATCGACTAGCCAAAACGCTTACATTTTACGGTTGAATTGCAATTTACACGGGTAGATTTTGGTTAAACGACAAAAATCGACCGTGTAAAGGCAGCTTAAATAACGTTCAAATTAATCACCCCCTCTGAGATGGAAAATACCAATAACCATTTCATAATTTCGAAAATTATTCCATTTATATTTGTTCTTGCATTTTCCACACCACTTGTGAGGTATGCTTTTACGCGCGTTACCGATTTTTTTTAATGTGCTCGGTTGCCCAGGAGGCCTATTTTCACCTTTACAACTTAACTTAAACAATTAAAACTAAAGCATGCAATATATAAAGAAAATTAAAAGTTGTCTTACATCTAGTAAACTTAAAAAATTTCACATTAAATTCATTTTTCATTATAAAATAAAATTAAATATCACAATTCAGTTTACAAAATGTGGTCTGTTTGCACCCACAGTAAGTTCCCATGAAGCCTAGTCTAAATTCGGAATTGAAAAAAAAACGAGCAAATGGGGTCGGAAACTACTAGCCCTAAAAGCACAATGTGGAAAATGTTTGAAGAGCTGCGAAATTGTATTGCAATAATAAAAATAACAGTGCATAAATTGGGAAAAATGGTTTTTGTTTTGCTTTATAATTTTTGGGAATATTGGTTCAGATGGAATTTTTTTATTTGTTTGGTTTTTCAGCTCGTTAATGATGCACGCAGGGTTGCATTTACTGTCTATGAAAATATTTCGTGAAGCGTTCCAAAATTAGCTCCGAGCAACTAAAAGTTGGTTAAGCTTAAATGAAATAGTTTTTTATTAAATATTTATTCCTGGTATTTAGTAAAAAACATCAATACTAATGTATGAAAAACAAAACATCAATGCTAATGTATGAAATGAAGTAAATAAAAATCTACGAATACATTCCATGAATATTTTGTCATAGAGCCATTATTAAATTTAGACATAACTTTGTCAGGCGTTGGTACCTATGAATATAGAATTAATGCGTTGGAGAGAGATAAATATACAAGTTCAACGCGCTAATTTAGGTATCCTTGTATGTATATACCTGTTACTCGTCTGGCATATACTCCAACTGCGAAAATAATGACAATTATAATTTATGTAGATCCCTGGATAAAAGATTGTCACAAGTTACTTTCGGTAACTCTCGATTGAAGTTTGGAATGCAATTTCTCAGAAACACGACTACAGATTTTCTCCAAAGTGTCGGAGAATGCTATGTACTAGTTCATGAAATTCTTAAATTATCTTGTTTTTTTTAGTTTAGTGTCAACCATTTATGAGTTTAATAAAATTTTGTCGTATACGACATTTGTCAAAAAATTTGCAGTCAGTTTTAGTGATATACGCCAAAATGTGATAACAATTTTTATAAATTAACCATACTTTTTACTAATCAGCCTAATCGTGAGTTTCGCCCGAACAAAATTTCGCCAACAATTTTTTCATCCACCTGTAGTGAACACACGCAGACGAAAAGTGACCCGGTTCTAGAAAATGAAACTCATGATAAAGCTGAATATGTCGGAAACTAAAGAAGAACAGATAACTCTATTTAAAAGATCTTGATTAGTTTAGTACGACAGCAATACTAACGCAATTTGTACCAAATAACCGAAAAAATTTTAGTCAATTAGTCGGAAACTAAAGAAGATATCCAAAAACCACAAATTGTCAAAATGACGCTTCCGGCAATTTTCCATCGAGGCGACGATATTTGAATAGCTTTGTATAGTTACCAATAGTCAGTACTAATTTGTACTGGAACCTGCAAACTTTTACTGGAAAAGTGTATGATAACCCAAAAATTTGCAAGAGAGCACTGAATCGAGAGCGTAACATCACGAGAGAGCTGCAAATTCTTGCTAGTGAAATTTTTACTAGCAGAAATTAGCTAGCAGAAGAAGAAGAATAAATGTCAAAAGAATATATAAAAAGTGGTGTTACTAGCTCAGTTGATTTTGTGTATGTGTTTCGCCGCACGGCTTCTGATATCAAATTGAAAAATTTTGTTTGAATTTCTACTCACACTTACAGGTTTTGACAGTTTATGCCGCCAAAGCAAAAACAAAATACATGTAAATTTTTGTTTTTGTACTCCTGCAATCACCTTATATTGATTCGCCTTGGCACAAACAAAAGTAAAATGAGTGGAAACAAAAATATCAATGATGTACTGGACAGTGTTAGTGCTTGTGTGTAAAGCAAAGAGTTTAAAACTGATTTATAAATAGTAAAATGCTTACAGCAGATTGTCAAAGCAGTGCAACAACTGTTCACTTGCAAGTTATTGCTAGTTTTGTGTTCAATAAGTTCTTCTGCTAGTTTTCTCTTCTTCTCAATTTAACGCTCTATTTTGCTTTTACGGTCTCGCTGCAATGTTACTGTTACTACACAAACCTAATGTTACTCGCATATTTTCGAGCCTGTATGTACATTTTCGGGAAAAAGGTTAAAAAGTGTATCCATCTGCTGAAAAGATATTTTCGCAGGTTCACAATTTATTTAAAATAAATCTATTAGCCCAATCTCCAATTCCATGTGAATAAATCTCCCCAGTGCTTAAATAATTTTCACCACATTAAATAGCTGCACAACACCCTAATTGCCGAAAAAGCGTTGCTTGCAACACTAGTCCTTTATGGGGACCAAACTTGGCGAAAAAAAAATAGCTAAGTTTGTTTACTGGATATACTGAGGTTTGCACCATGTCTAGTTAACGCTAACTGGAGGTTCATCCTTCAGTTAAGCACGTTAACTGCGTTATCGATCACATGTTATATGATGGGTGTCGATAACGTCGATAAAGATGTTTAACTGGGAGTTAGAATTAACTAGACATGGTGCAAACGGCCCTTAGTGAGGTAGTTTCTAGTAGTATAAAGTTAGTGACACTGCGCTTTATAACGAAAGAAAACACGGCTATTGTCGCATGTGTAAACGCAAAGAGAGTGTGGGTCGTTCATGTAACAGAGTGTATAAACTTATAAGATTATCTGCTTGATAAAGTTATCGGTTTAGATGAATACCACTATTGTTTAGAGCTGATATGTTGATTCCGGGCACGAAATGTGGTTGTTTGCGTTCCTCACGCTCTGGGCACTTTTTGCACGTGTTGGCACATTTTCGACACTTGTGAGAGAGTAACTTATTTTTACTCTCAAATTACCGGAGCAGCCCGGAAAGCGTGGGGAACGAAGCATTGAATCATGCCAACTATTCAAGCTGGAGTTGTAAAACCATCGATAATAGATATATCCATCGATAGTTTTTGATAGTTTTGAAAAAACATCGATGGTCTTCGATAGTCTCCAAAAAATTAACTATCGATAGTGCCATCGATAGGTTTGCAACTCTACTTGGTGGAAATCTCGAGTCGACTGGTTGCTGATGATCTTTGTAAACAATGGATATAAACACGGTGGTTAATACACCTTCTGTTGAAACTATTTTTGTTCCTGGCTGCCCGAATATTAAGACGCAGGCGTCTCATCGAAGAGTAGTGAAAGAGCAAATTTTTGTTGCCAATTTACCAGTAATTACTGAGACGAACGTTGCCAAAACAGAGTTCATATCGGATGATGATTGTGAAGCAAATAACAGTGCATTAAGCAAAGACGACTACGCCACCAATAGTAACAGTGACGATTTTGAAGCATACAAAAGAGATTTTGAAGAAAATCTAAAAAAAAGCGCAAAAATCGATATAAATAAAGTAACTAAACAGCCCACAAAAAAACGTTTAAAACTTTCTGAAAGAGTCACAGAAGAGCCCAAGTTCGTGTGCAATATATGTTCAATGGGGTTTCAACGTGTGAACAATTATACCATCCACATGAAGAAAAAGCACAAAATTGTTGGGGCAACTACTCCTTACAGTTGCCCTAATTGTCCACGAAAGTACGAATTTGAGTATGAGTTGAAACGACATATGCAAAAGTACAGACCGCTAGAAGAAAGACTTGTCCATCCTTGCTCACACTGTGATCGGAAATTCCAAACAAGAGTTCACGTGGCTCGACATATAAAGTTTGTTCATGACAACATACGTCCATTTATATGTGAAGAATGTGGAGAAGCTGTGCATACAAGTACCACCTTGCGGGAACATATGCTCACCCACACAGACTATTCGCCATTCGAGTGTAAAGAATGTGGGAAGTGTTTTAAGCAGAAACAGCGTCTGAAAGTAAGATATTCATAATTAATTAAACATTCAAGATCTACACTCAAGCATGCATACATATCGCACGTTTAATAATGGCTGCGTTTCTTTAAACATTCCGGATAATTCAATTTCACAGCCAGAATGCGTTTGAAATATACGTTAACATATCATCAGGAACGTTCTAAAGAATAAGTAAACAAAAGACACGAAAAATTACACTGAAGATGGCACAACGCCGAAACCGGTTTGTCTGCAAACCAAACTTGACAAGGGATGACGGAAATTCGTTCCAAAATAAATCATCTTAGCACCCGGTCGGGAAGATCAACCAACTCCAAACACATAAACAAAAAAGGTTGTTCCAAACGTTCAGAATGAATAAAGAAATGCAGCCAATATAACGAGCCTGCAAACCAAAGTTCCCGAAATCTGAACGAAATCGTTAGGAGAATCTCATTTCTGTAACGATTTTTTTACGAATCTTTGAAGAAAATTATATGAAGTGGTTGACACGAACTCGTAAAGAGATTTCTGTACGAAAAATAAAAAAATTCTGAAAAATTTCTGCAAGAAATTCTTCACATAACAGCATTATTTTCATTGCTTTTATCCAAAATTTCGTAAAAGAATAGAAGTGTGCACACTTGTTTCGGACGAGATCTTTACGAATTCTTTAAAATTTCTCTGCAAACAAAAGTTCTCGAAATCTTAATGAAATCTTTAGGAGGATCTTATTTCTGTAACGATTTTTTACGAATCTTGAAAGAAAATTGTATGAAGTGGTTGACACCAACTAGTAAAGAAATTTCTGTGCGAAAAATAAAGAAAATTCTGAACAAATTCGGCTAGAAGTTTTTCACATTACAGTATTATTTTCATTGAAATTTCGTAAAATGATCGGAGTGTGCACAGTTTATTTCATTTTAGAAAATTCGGCAAAAAATCGGATGCGATCTTTACGAATTCCTTAAAATTTTCCTACAATTCAGAATACACTGAAAAAACAGTTTGCAGGGGGAGTATTCCAAAATTTTAATTTTTATCAATTAGTTTCGTAATCTGTTGGACTGAACATATTCTCCTTATCAAGTTTATTAACTGTATGTGGAAACCTCCAAAAACGTACATAAATTTTGAATTTACATTATTAACCGTGCGATATTATTTGCTTAATTTTTTACTATTTTTAGAGACACATGGATATTCACGGAGAAAAACATATCTGTACAAAATGTGGCAAGCAGTTGAGTTCTCGTTGCACACTTAATAAGCACTTGCTGGTTCATTCAGAAGGAAAGCCACATAAATGTGAATATTGCGGACGTGCCTTCAAGCTTTCTAAAACGCTGAAAGTACATTTAAATACACACACTGGAGATAAAATTTACGCCTGTGATTTTTGCGATAAAACTTTCACTGCTCCCTCTAGTCGTCGTCAGCACAAAAAGAAAAAACATCCAAAGGAATTACTTGAACAAGAGAGGTTAACAGCAGAGTCTATAGAAACAAAAGGTGTAGAAAGCTTAGTCCTACCTAACCTGAATATATAAAAAAAAGGTGTAGGAAGCTCAGTCCTGCCTAACCGGAAGGATTTGAACCGGTCAAGTAGTGTCGCTCAGCAGCATTCACTAAAACTCTTTGGGAAGTCTACACAACAAACACATGTAATTGAATCGAGGCAGCAGTATGCAGTTTTCCCGAATGCTTTCCAATACAGCCCTCGAAACTGCTTGGCTTCATCAGAGCACTAGGGCTGGACGATGTGTTGTGATGAGCTCTGAGAGCTGAATAGACCTAAGGTCGCAGTGCACATCCTCTAACAAATCTATCTATCAATACGTCTCCGACATCATGGGTTACGTTAGCGTATTGTTGGAATCAATGATTTTTTTCACATTTACTATTGTATACATATGTACGTATGGATAAAGATTATTTGTACATATTTACTAAATTTGGTTTATAACTATTTTAGCCATTGTTAGAAAATTTTATAAATCCCTCGAGTCGTTTAACTGAATTGAGATTCTATTGAATCTTTGAAAATCAGAGCTGGGCAAAATTAATTCGAACGACGAATACCATTAACAAATTTTTGTTTTCGTTATTCGTAATAGTATATAGTAAATAATTTCTTTTATTCAAAGAAAATTATTCGACTGATTCTGACTAGCCCGGACTCGTACGGGATCGCAACTGAAAATAACAAAGTCGGCAAAATGGCATCAGCTGATTGTCGTAAATATGTAATTATGCTATGAAAATTACATACTTTTTTTCTTACAAAAGGGACCTTTATGTCATTTAAATTCCCATTTTGGGTATTTAACTAGCCTTTATGGACACCTTTAACTTTAAAGTGGCTTTATGAATTCGATCAGCCAAATAAAGCCTTTAAATTTTAAAGTATTTTTAATATTATTATGAAATCGGCCCTTAGTTTCATGTTTAGATGCATAAAACCTTGGTAATAGATTAGATAAAATGGTTTTTCGAAAAAAAAAAATACTTTGGGCTTTATACATAAATGAACTTAACAATGTGTCCGCGAGACCATTGTGCGCTGTTAAGGGTTAAGTACCGACTTCAAAATTTTTAAAATATCATAAACAAATGCACTTTGCCCACGTAACGGTAATTTCAAAAAACACAAAACTAGCTAAATATAAGGGGGAGAGGTTTTTATTCGAATATGTAATTTAGGGATGCACAACAGAGGTGCACGCAGTCGACGTCGCGGGCAAACTGCGAGCACGCCAGCGTGCTAGGCGAGGAGAAGTGAGCTGTACGGAGATGGCATCGTATACATATTAACCACTACACACTTATTTTCAAGTAAAAATGCATGATACAAAAAACAAGGTAGTTCCATTGTCACTTTTTCGTCGCCATATTAACAACCTGACAATTAAGCAGATTGTGAAATTTCGTGCTACCATACACAATATCTAAAATCCTTCAAATTTTCTTATTAAGTTTTTGTCGATCTAAAAACCTTTGTTCTTAAGCATAGTATTTTATTCCTGTTTCACGTGAAAAAGCTGTTAAATTTTATACAAAACTTCTTTCTGTGAAATAAGTGTGAAATTCCACAACATTTCCTCAGCAAAGTAGTATCAAATAAAACACCTCTTTGAGGTAAAATTTTCGAGTGACGAGAGCTGAACTAGAAACACAAAATTTATGATATCAATTTCGTGACGAAAATTATACGCATTTTTTAACTGCCTTGGAAACGTAGGGAAAATCTTTTTTATTCATACGAATCGTTGCAAAAGTTCTGTCTTTTATTTTGTGTTTCTAGCAGAAAACGCAACGTTCCGAATAAATAAAAAAAAGATTTTCCGTACGTTTCAAAGGCAGTTAAAAAATGCGTATAATTTTCGTCACGAAATTGATATCATAAATTTTGTGTTTCTAGTTCAGCTTTCGTCACTCGAAAATTTTACCTCAAAGAGGTGTTTTATTTGATATCAATTATTTTGGGGTAGCAAATTTAAAATCGACCAAAATACAAACAATAATCTAAATGTTTTATTTTTCTCAAATAAATTGATAAAAATATTATCTAAATCTAAATTATGTATTCAAATCGATGTGTCCATTGAAACACATAATTTTCCGAATACGAAATAAAGCGAAAAAGAATGATCATATCCTTTGCATTCGAAAAAATTAAAAATTAAATGTATAAGAAATGATAAAAACTTATCAACTTGGTACCAACTTTGGATACAATAAACAACTATATTCGTCTGATAGTCTCGTAGTTTATTTTTGTTAAGATTTCTACCGGGTGTGGGGCGCACACATGTGATCTTTTTAAGAAGTTTTACTTCTATCACGTGTACGGTGTTGCACTCGTGCTACTAAACTAATGCTTTTTTCTCAAGTAGTTTTGCTCAGAGGCAATTTATACATATGTATGTAAGTAGTAGCGGCACGTTGGGTGAACTAAATGCATTCATACATAGGCTGCATTTCTTTATTCATTCTGAACGTTTGGAATAAGCTTTTTTGTTTATTTATTCTTTAGAACGTTCCTGATGATATGTTGACGTATATTTCAAACGCATTCTGTTTATTCCGGCTGTGAAATGGGATTATCCGGAATGTATAAAGAAACGCAGCCATACATATTTATGTACAACTATAGGTAATATTGTACGCGTCTTCCCAGGTAGGTTAAGTGCTCTAAAATACACACAAATTGTGGTTTCCAAGACATTTAGGAAGTGATTAGCACAGCTGCATCATTCAACTTGTCAACTCGCGGAAAATTCCCCGATTTTCAGGGAATTTCGGTTTAAGTGGCAATCGGGGAATGGGCAATTTTTTGGGGGAACTGGGTATGTTATTTTTATGTCTTAAAGTAACCAAATTAAACGAATGTGTTAATTTTTAACCATTCGACCCTTTTTGGAGTGACATTTTTTCAATATGAATCGCAATATCTCCACAACAAGAGTTTTCCCAGATATAAGCTGTATACCAGATGAAAGCCAAGGTTTTGGGCTAGATTTGTAGAAACCTAGAATAAAATCGACTGACCAGTTTTTGAGAAAATGCCCGAATTGTATATTTTCAGCAGCCCGATTTTTAGTTTTCGGGCGATAACGGTATGACATATTTATATTTTATAAACAAAGAAGATAGACCCTTGAAGACCCTTCTACTGATATCCACATCAATGAGATAGACTGAGTACTGCGGCCTCAGTGCTAGTTTAAAAAATTGCATTTTTTCGAATTTCAGGCAGCAGCCAGGCATACGAATCACAACATCCTGGAAAAAAACCTTCTTAGGTTTTTGTGTACTTTAATTCCTGAAAGTTTGAAAAAAATTAAATGATGGTACGTACAGACGCCACATACATACTAGAGTCCAGCGCAATTGTATTTGCCGCATTTCATTCAATA